TAAAATTAGTTTATATATGTAAATTAATGGTTTAGTGCCTTTAGTAGATATAAAACATAAAATCTAATTGGGCTTAGTCTGGAACAGTGTCTTGGGTGATATGAGTATTTAAAGGAAGGCTTAAAGATGGATGAGGATGAGGAGGGTTGCATAGGTTTTACCCCTCAAAACTCCTTCATTCCACTGCTTACAAATGTATTTTCTTTGGACCTCAGGCAGATCTGGAAGAAGAGAGAATACGGCAGAAAATAGCACAAAGAACCTCAGAGGAGACCATACGCATTTACTCTTTGAGACTGTTTTTGAACTGCATTGTTCTGGCTGTTTTAGCTGCATGCTTTTATGCAATCTACTTAGCAACTACCTTCTCACAAGAACACATGAAAAAAGTAAGTATACTTGCCCTCTGGTTGGGCATTATGCTAAATGCATTGTAAAATAGAGATCATCATTTCTGAATGTATATTGGGGTATAAGTTTAGTGATGTGACAGAGAACTAAATATCAGAGATAATCAAATTTCTACTTTTAAGAGAAATTTTAGAAAGCTTTTGAGATACCTGTTCCTCCTGGAATATATAATAATCTAATTCAGGCTAGGTTGTCTTCATTTTTATCCCTGACTCCTCTACTTACTAGGCAGTGCCTTAGTTTATCTAAAATAGCAATGACTAAAAATCCAAGTTAATTAGTGGCTTTGTTTCATGAACTTAAATCATCAGGGCCCAGGTGTCTTGTGACTCTGGCACCTACAGGGTGTGGCTTTTTTCTTTGTGGTCCGAGATAGCTTATTACCACATCCACATTCTAATCAAAGGGAAAGATGCAGGGATTGAGGAGAACACATCTTTTCCTTTTAAAAATGTGAGCTGGAGTCTGACTTAAAACTTGTATTCATCTCCCCTTGGCTAGAATTTAGTTACATGACTGTACCTTCCTACAAGAAGGCTAAGAAATGTTTTATCCTAGCTATGTTTGTAGTTGAGTGATCACTACTTTGAAAGGAGGAGAGAAACGCTGCTACAAAGCATCACTAGTATACCCTTGAAAGAAATTTGCTAGTGTATCCTCGAAAGAAATTTGCTCATTCATACAGAATACCTGTGATTCTTTTAATGCTTTGCCTTGAGAATCCATTTTTCTTCCAGCAACATTCTAGCTATCTGTATTTGCTCACCAAGGAAGGAAATGGCTTTATGTTTAGCGGCTGTGTTGAATGACAGACGGTCCTCTTTGCCACATATGCATTGTTGAGTTCTTTTTCAGTTCAGTTTGTGGAGCAAACCTCATTGATCTCTCGTTGTGGGTATGAGAAAAATAAAGACAAGAGACAAGAGCTGGGGTCAGGTGGCGTTACCTCTTGCCTGATGAGCAAGAGGACTGCCCCAAAACAGTAGAGCATTTATTTATACCCTGGAGAGGTTGGTTAATTTTTGTCTCGCTGCCCAGCAACCAGTTACCAAGTTACAAAGCCTTGTTTACTCCGAGGGGCTTGTTTATTCTGAGGAGCTCCCCTGTTCTCAGGCTGGCTTCATCCTGCACGTGTAATTATTTTCTGGCTTCTGCTGCTCTCAACAAGTTTGTGTTGCCATTTCCCTAGGAAATTGACAAGATGGTTTTTGGAGAGAACCTGTTAATTCTGTACCTACCATCCATTGTGATCACACTGGCCAATTTTATCACCCCGATCATCTTTGCCAAGATCATCCACTATGAGGATTATTCGCCAGGCTTTGAGATCCGGCTGACAATTCTTAGGTGAGGCCTAACTGCAGATCACCACTTGCCCATGGCAGTCATTGCTAATCAGTTGTGCACATTTTCTTGCTGAGCTGAGAATCCTCCTTAACCTCTGGAGAAGGAATCAGAATTTGTGCATGCAGCGTAACCTCTTTGACTTCAGGATCTACGTGTGCGTGTTATACGCTGGTCCCTGTGTTAGCTGACGGCTGGGGTGGGCTTCTAGGAGGAGATATTTATGTGAAGATGTCAGAATCAACAGATGTAAGACAGAGTCCAGTGAGCTCATACAAGTAAAGGGGGCCAGGAGGGGGCTGTGTGGCATGTGTGCTTCTCAAATATCTGAGATTATATTTCACTGTGCTTCTCAAATACCTGAGATTGTATTTGCACTTTAGAAACAAACGAAAACCCAAAAACAATAAACTTTGTATTTCAGAAATTTTCAAACAGTACAGCTGATCTGGTGAATCTGCACATGCTCATCATTTAGTTTCAAGCACCCCCAACATTTTGCCCCCACTTTTTGACAGTAGAGATTGAATGCATGGCCTTGGCACTGAGCTGCACCCAGCTCTTTAAAAAATTTTTGAAATTTTGAAACAGGGTCTCGCTAAGTCACTAAGTTGTCCAGACTGGGCTCGAACTTGCCATCCTCCTGCCTCAAGCTCCCAGAGTGCTGGGGTCTCAGGTGTCACCACCACGTCTGGCTTGCCCATCTTTTTCATCCATTTTCTTCACTCCTGCTAGATTATTTTAAGCAAATCCCAGAGAACATGTCGTTTTGCCTGTAAACACTCCAGTCTCTTTCCAAGTGATGAGAACTTGTTCTAACATGAACATCTCACATTTCCCAAGATGAAGTCAGTCTTCCTGATAGAGTGGCAGATGGCTTGTTCAAATCACGATCATATATAAGGTCCACATGCTGAATTTGTTTGTTACAAGAGTTCCTTTTATTTATTTATTTATTTTGTCTTGTTAAAATTCTGGGTTTTTTCATTAGCGTATTATATTTATTTTATAATCTCCTATAGGCTATCCTTTTTTCAGTTTTATCGTATGCATGACTGCAGTACATAACGATCACACCCCCCGTGGGGAGTTGGCACATAGACATCACACATCTGCATTCTTTGTCATCCCCTTCCCTTCTCCTCCCTCTGCCCTCCCTTCTTTTGTTTTTCTTTCCTTTTTGTTATGCCATTGTGGAAGTAACTGGCTCCTTTGTTGTGTAGATGTCCCCTATCCCGGACTCAGTTTGTTGTCTGTTGGAGGCGTGCGTCTTCTGTACCCCCAGTTGCTGTAAGCTACTGTGCAGATTGAGTTCTTACTGGTCCCCTTCCAGTGTTTTCACTATGGAAACCTCATCAGTAGTGCTCTGTGTTCCCACCTGCTGTCTCCCACTCCGGGAGGCCCGTTATCATGGCATTAGGAGTCCCAGCTTTTTATCTTTTTTCCTTTCAAAAAAACTGTAGTAAAACATGAGACGTAACAAAAACTATGGTGAACGTTTAAACAGTGTATTACAATAAAAGACAAGCTATCGTTTGTAACTCTGTATTGCCTGTGCTGCTCTTTTGCTATTTTGTAAAAGGCTGTCTATTAATGTTTTCCTCCTTTTATTTAAAAAAAAAAAAGACGCGCTATCATTACCCGACTCACAACAGTCCGCTATGCTTCAGGCACACTTACCCCATCGCTCTTCCATTCTGGACGGCCTCATTTGTGTTCTCAGTTGTGCTGTTGTGGCTGAACTGATTTAAAATGTTCACCTTTCATGGTCACTTTCGACTTTGGGGAAGAGCCAGAAGTTGCACCAGGCCATAAATTGTGATGAACAGGGTGGGTGAGGGCACACTGAAGTTTTACAAGAAGACTGCCTTTCCACTGGATGGGACATGGCAGCAGCATTCATTGTATTTTTGGTTATGCTTTGTAAAGACATTGACGAAAGAGGGCCTCCAAAACTGCTTCAGAAAGTTGCAAGAATGATGGGATAAGTGTGTTCAAAGTGATGGGAAGGGGGATTAATGGTGATGTATTTTATAAAATTTTAAAAATGACATTCACCATACATTTTTATATATAACCTAAAAATTATTATTTTAACATTTTTTTGTTTTTGTTTTTTTGAGATAGGGTCTCACTGTGTAGTTCATACTGGCCTTGAACTCACTGTGCAGTGAACCCAGACTGGCCTTAAACTCACAGCAGTCCTCCTGCCTCAGCCTCCTAAGTGCTGGGATTAGAAGTTAATTACTACTAACCATGTTTAAGTGTGCAGTTTAGTGGCATTCAGTTCATTACCAGTGATATGCAACCATCACCACTATTCATCTCCAGGATCTTTTCACCATCCTTAAGAGAAGCTCTGTATCCATCTTTGGGTTTGCTTTGTTTTTGATGCTGGGAGGGGCCGGCATGCTCTGACAGCTTCCTCTCCTCCTCCCCTTTCCTCTCTTCCCTGAAGGTGCGTATTTATGCGGCTGGCCACCATCTGTGTGCTGGTGTTCACACTGGGTTCCAAGATCACATCCTGTGGTGACACCACATGTGAACTCTGTGGCTACAACCAGAAACTCTACCCGGTAAGCCACTGGGGAGGCATTCTGCTGGATGGAGGGGGGCATCTGGTGACAGTGTCACGGTCAGGACAGCATGGGCTTGATTCTCAGTTGCTCCTCTTCCTAGCTCCAGCCAGGAGGTGGGCCTGGGCCTGGATGCTGAAGTCTGGGCTGGAGCTCAGGAGCAGGGTCTGGAGATGGGAAGGCTGTGGAAAGGATCCGGGAGCCTGACTTCCTTTGCCCAGAAGGGAGGGTCTGTTGTTGCCTCTCACCCTCTCTGGTTTCAGTGCTGGGAGACCCAGGTTGGGCAGGAAATGTACAAGCTGATGATCTTCGACTTCATCATCATCTTGGCCGTGACACTTTTTGTGGATTTCCCTAGAAAGTAAGTAGGGAGGAGGCCGGCGGCTCCCATCATGACCACACCCCACAAAGTGCTAGGTGACTCTTCAGTCCCCAGGAAACCACTGATAACCAGGAGCCATAGATGCCCCATCTGAAGGTGGTATGAAGAGCGGAAACGGAGCTGCTTCCTGTGAAGCTTCTTGGAGACTACTTGCTGCCATCTGAACAGCCATGCCAGTGTCAGCGTGGACCACCAGGCTGCAGTGGAGGCTGCGTTTCCTGAGCTGGGTTCAGACCCCAGCACTGCTCCTGCTAGTCCTGTAACCTTAGGCAAGCTCCTTAGCTCATTCTTGTAAGACCCACCTTGCAGCTTTGTGAGAATTAAATGAGATACCGCAGATAAAAGTGCTGAGCTCACTACATGGCAGACAGCTCAACAACACGTTAATGGTGCCCGTCATGATTGTCATGACTGTGTTGTTGTTTTGATTATTCTCTCACTGTTGTCTTAACTTTTTACCCACACATGCAGGTAATCCAGGCATGAGCCTGGATTCAACATTATTAATGTTAAAAACAAACATCAAAAAAGAAACATAAAAATCAGACCCACATGTGTAAATATCACATTGTTCCTCTGGTGTGAGAAACTGAAAGTGTAAATAAGGACCAAAATATGTACTAGGTAGGTATGGTGAAATAGGAATAAAATGGTTTTTTTGTATGTTATTAAAAAAAACGTACAAACTAAAATAAATGAATAAAGAAATATGAAAAAAGAAACTTAAAAACACACATATATGAATAGGTACTATTTAAAATTTTTAAATATACAGAATTTAAACAAATATAGAAGTCTGGAGAATGGTGGGAGTCCCTTTGTTACCATACCCCTGACCAGCCAGTCCCATGCCATTCCTCACAGCTGAGCACTGCTGACACTTTGGGAGAGCTCATGCAGTCTTTAAATACTGTATGAAGACATGAGCTATGTATGGTGGTGCACTTCTGTAACCCCAGCACTCTGGGAGGCTACGGTGGGAGGATTACAAGTTCGAACCCGACCGATGTAACTTAGTGAAACTATTTTAAAATGAAAAGTAGAAAAGGGCTGGGAATGTAGCTCATTGAGAAGGCCCTGGGTTGAATCCCCAGTACTTCAAAACAAAAAGTATTTTTCACACACATCTACACAAGTACACATGTAGGTAGACACACTGTCTTGTTGGAAATGTTCTTTGGCTTCAGTGGGATCATAGTACAGCCACATGGGTCTGTAGCTTGGTTCCCAGCCTGCCACCCACCCCTCTTAAGAATAAAATATCATGAACAGCTTTCCATGGCACATGGGGTTTCTTCATCCATCTTATAACAGTTTCTTGTACCCATGGCTTTTATTTATCCATCCAGCCTCAACTGATGGCATTTAGGTTGTTTCCAGTATTGTTGCTAATGCACGGCAATGCTGCGGTGAATAGCTATATAGTGTATATTTCTCTTGGGCTCCTGGCCCTGGGATTTCTGTAGGAAGCTTCTAGAATACTGAGAAGTGGCACTGGTAGGTGCTAAGGTCCCCACGAACTATATTCTGTGGTTGCATGGTACTTTTTGTGCTGGGTGGCAAGCCAGTATACAGAGGCCTCTGGCATCATTTATGCTCATCACAACTTGGTGCAGGATATATAATAATCCCCCATTTCCCAGATGATAACAATGAGGCTGAAAAAAAATCAAAGAACTTGTAGACTGGGATGTTAAATTGTGGATCTAAGGCTCCAATCCTGGTCATAATGATTCCAGAGTCCACTATATTCTTACAAGACTATAAACAGGACTAACCAGTTTCCCTGGAAATGGCCTATTTGGTGGTGAGGCTCTCTAGCCTGGGCAGACACCTGTACCCAGGTGAGAATGGGCTGGTTTATTTTTAGGCTCCTGGTGACCTACTGCTCTTCCTGGAAGCTGATCCAGTGCTGGGGACAGCAGGAGTTCGCCATCCCAGATAACGTCCTGGGGATTGTGTATGGGCAAACCATTTGCTGGATTGGAGCCTTTTTCTCACCCCTTCTACCTGCAATTGCGACCATGAAATTCATTATCATCTTTTACGTGAAAGAGGTAAGAAGCGGTGAGAGTGGGGGTGCACACTCTGGACCATCCTTGATCTGTAAGGCATTCATGTGTTGGAGCCCCTTCCACCTCCATGAGGCTCATCAAAATGATGTTCCTCATTTAATGTATATTCATTCTGGAAAAAAGTGCAATGGATTGTCACTGGGTTTGGGGTATTTTTTTCTTTTTTTGTACTAGAGATTGAATCTAAGGTTTTTACACTTTTTTTTTTTTTTGGTCTTTTTGAGACAGGGTCTCGCTATGCAGTTCAGGCTGACCTTGAGCTCACTTTGTAGCCCAGGCTGGCCACGAACTCTCAATGATCCTCCTCCCTCAGCCTCCAGAGTGCTGGGATTATAGGCGTGCGCCACCACCCCTAGCTGAGTCCTTATTTCATTATAAAATTTTTATGATTTTGAGATAGGGACTCATTTAAGTCACTAAATTATCCAGACAGGGCTTAAACGTCCCTTAATTTTTAAGGGTATTGTTAAGAAGTATTTTGCTCCTGTGACTTAAGTCTCAGTTTAATTATCAGTGGTACATTTTAGTGATATTTTGCTTCTTTCTTCCTGTTTCCTGTCTCCCTTCCTTCCTTCCTTCCCTCCCTCCCTTCCTGTTCTTTTTGTGTGGTACTGGGGATTAAATCCAGGGGTTATGCAAAGTAGGCAAGTGCTCCACCACCAACCCCCAGCCCTTTTTATTTTTTATTTTAAAATAGGGTCTCACTATATATCTCAAACTGGGCTTGAACTAATGCTCTTGTCTCACGCTGCTAAGTAGCTGGAACTCTAGGTGTGTGCTACTGTACATGGCAAAACATGTATTAATTTCTATTATGTAACTTATCTTTTGGATTTTGGAGCCACTGTGGTTATTTTTGGGTCTCAGTAATTTGTCTGTGGAGCCAGCCCCTTGAACAGCCTAGGCGCTGTGCCAGAACTAAATACTGCATGGGAGAAGTACATCCACAGGTTATGGGCTTATCTGGACTTACTTGTTTTCTTTGTTATAGAGCCAATGTATGCTCATCGTTAAGCATTTAATAATACAGACACACTTACGGTAATGTCCATCCCTTCTTCCAGAGGTAGCCTGTGGTAATAAGCCTGTATCAGTTAGTATTTACTAGAGAAACAGATATAACACAAGATACCCAAATGTATAAGAAGTTACAAGATTGGCTTCCAGTTGCCACCCGGAGTCGGATGAGGAAGCATGCAGAGGGTGTCTGCACACTGGAGATGGAAGGTTTCAGTCTAAGGTCTGGAGCTCACCGCAGTGTCCCGTGCACGTCCGTATCAGGAGGCCGATGGGTCTGCGATGGAAGATGAAGAATCTGTGCTGGAAGCCAAGAGATGACGTCCAAGGTGAAGGTGAAGACTGGAGCTCCTCCGAAAAAGCAGAAGCAGATTCGTCCTTCATTTCCCCTTTATACCATCCAGGTGACAAGCTGCCGTAGGGTGTGGAATTGCTGAGCCAATTTAGTTAAACTTCTCTTACTCAAGTTGACACCATCAGTCAACCATGACAAAGCCCAACGTTTTTTATTATGCCAAGCCTTGAGGATTCAAAATTGGAAATGATAGTGTTAAAAATAATAATAGCAGCAGATAATAATAATAATACTATATACCCTGCTCTGTATGGATTATCATGTAGTGCTTACACCCAGCCTAGGAATAGGCACCACATTTTATAAAGGAGAAAGTTGAAGTTCAGAGATGGTCAGTAACTGCTCCAGACCACACAGCCTGTAGGGACCTCAGAGTTGAACTCAGGTTTATCTCACTCCAAAGCCTTACCTCTTCACTTGATAAGCAGGGCCTTGACTTGGGCAAAACTTTCTACCTGGATGTTTTGGCCTTTGAATGTTCTTACGGCTTCACTTGGAAACTTCAGTTGGCTGAATCATCAAAGGAGAGATTGATGTGAGACAGCTCATAAGGAACCTCATTTTTTCCTTTCCAAATCATATCAGCAGCCAATGGGAAAGGCAGTGTAAATGATGAAATGGCTGGTGGGCCCCGGCCTCCCTTGGACACTCACACCCACCTGCTTGGCAAGGCACCAAGTGCCCTCTGGCTCTCAGTGTCCAGCGCACAAGTTGTTCTGGCTTCTGTGGGATTCAGAAGGGCCTGATGCCCAGCCAGTAATGCAGCTTTTTAAAATACTGAGAAATTTTATGGCTGTTACTTTCCCTTCTCCCCCTCCCCGCTTGATATTTCCTTTGTCTCTTTTCCCCTGGATGGAAATATTTGTTTTTAATAGATAGAAAATAATGTGTGCTTGTAAAAATCCAAGCAAGATACCTTTTAATTTGGTATATGTTGTCATAGAACCATTTATATACATTTAAAGTGCTATAAAGAACAATCCTTAAAAAATCCAAATGAGTTCATAGAGTTCTGAAATCTGCCACTTTTATTTCACAATGCTATGTGGGTAAGTAATGCTGTCTTGTCCTTTTTTAAGGGATGTTTGGTATTCCATTGTGTGGGTGGCCTTTAACCTTTAAGGAGCCCCCACTGGTCGTTACTTAGATTGCTTTGAGTTATTGCCAATAAACAACGACTACAACAGCAGATACCCACTTGCATGTATCTTCGTCCATTTTTCTTATTATTTCACCAGTGTAAATTTCTGGAGTCTGGATTACATATTCCTCATTTTGATCTATATTCTAGACTACACTCTAGAAAGGTGAGACCAGTTGATATTCCCATTGTAACGCACACTTACGCTTATTTACCCTCCTGAAAGCTCATTGTTCTTAACCTTTTTCTTCTTTTCTCCTCAGTTGAGTCTTCTTTATACCTGCAGACCTTCCCCAAGGCAGTTCAGAGCATCCAATTCTAATTTCTTCTTCCTGCTGGTGTTGTTGATTGGGCTGTGCTTGGCAATTATTCCTCTGACCATCAGCATGTCCAGGTAAATAGGACTTGTGTTTTCTAGAACGTCGTCCTGCTTTGTGACATGTTCCTCTTTTGTGTAAAGGGCCTGCTACATTCTTCTTTCACTCTTCTCACAGTGCTGCACCACAGAGGGCACGGAGTCCCTCTTGACTTAGCCAGGCCCACCTTTGCCCAGTGTTTCCTTCTGGAAGCTGGAGTGTCTTGGTCCACTTTTGGAATTTGGAACTGCAGGATGTTCGTGGTCTTTGTGGGGGCCAGAAGGGCCTTTCCCACCTCATTCCCTTTTCTGAGGACCATTCGTTCTATCTCCTTTTGGGTTATTTTTATCAAAATAATATATGGTCATGGTAGACGACAGACTGAAGGGAAAAGCAGAAGGGGCAGATATTCCCCTCACTCTGGTCAGGTTTGATTGAGGAACATTTACTGAGTACCTTGTATGTGCCAGGCACTGTGCTAGGTGCTAGGGACATGAAGACAATGAAGACACGCCACAAGGACAGTCTCACCTCCTCATGTCTGTGTGTCTCCTTTCTGTCTCTGTCACAGTGGTTCTCGAATATCCCATCACATGGACCCTAAGTTGTTCATTCATTTCCTTAAACTTAGGAAGGCCTTTTCAAGTCTTCACTTTGTTTTTCCATTGTAATTTATTTTATTTTCTCTGCTATTTTATTTAGAAAAAATTTAAATGTATGAAAAAGTTGAAAGAAATAACAAACGCATGTGCTCTTCAAGTGGATGTTGCAGTTGTTAACATTTAGCAGTACTTTCTTTTTTGTGTGCTTGGTAATGAACCATTTGATTTTGTGTTTTTTTGTGGGGGTTTTGTGTGTATTTTTTTTGTGTGTGTGGTACTGGGAACTGAATCCAGGGCCTTGAGCATGTTAGGTAAGTGCTCCACCACTGAGCTGCATCCCTGCTCTGCATCATGTCAAATTAAGTTATAGGCACCATGTTTACCTCTGAATACTTCAGCAGGCAGCTCCCAAGAGGACCCTCTTTTATACACTGCCACAATAACATCACAACCAAGACACTTAATACTAATACCATAATCCTGCCATTTTGATTTTTCCAACTGTCCCCAATTAATCTTTTCTAGCTTTATTTTAATTAATGTTTGTTTAGTTTACTTGTTGTCTTTTTGAGAGAGGGTTTCACTATGTAGTTCACACTGGCCTAGAACTCACCTCGTAGCCCAAGCTGGCCTCAGAACTTGTGGAGCTCTTCCTACCTCAGCCTCCTGAGTGCTGGGATTACAGGCATTTGCCTCCACACCTGGCTCTAGCCTTATTTTAAATATAAAGGTCTTTGAACTTTCAGCCACTATGTCTCCTTAGTCTCTTTTAGTCTTTGGTCCTCTGAAGAATCCAAGCCATTTTTTCCTCACTTTTGAGTTCAGAAATTGGAGAGTAGAATCCCCACATTCTGGTCTTGTCTAATTTTTCTGACAGTCTCGTTTAACTTGATCTTCTCTCCTAAATGTCCTATAAACTGGAAGTGAGGCCTAGAGACTTGATGAAATATTAGGGTAAGCATTTTGGACCAGAATATCCCAGAAGGCCTAGGAGTCAGGTAGTTCCCCACAGGCCACTGCTAACAATATGTTCTCAGTGTGCAGAGGTGGGACCCTCAGCCTGTGCTGCATGCTGGCTCTGATCCTCTTGATCCCTGTCCTGGCAGCATCCCTTCCTCGAAAGCCTGTGGGCCATTCACTAGCTATAACACCACCTGGGATGTCATCCCCATGACTGTGACCACCTTCCCCAGCTCGCTGCAGGCTGTGATTCATGGCATCACCTCAGAAGCCTTTGCTGTGCCCTTCTTCATGATCATCTGGTAAGTAAGATATCCAAGAACCATCTGGACCCGAGTGAGTAATTCCCACTGAGGCAAATGGAGTGTATTAGTAAACTTTCTGTCACTGTGACAAAATATCTGAGATAATCACCTTAAAAAGAGGAAAGGTTTATTTGGTTCACAGTTTCAGAAGTTTAGTCCATGGTTGCTTGGCCCTGTGCCAGCATAAAACATGATAGTAAGTAAATGTGGTGGACATCCCTTCTCCTTGTAATAACCGGGAAGTGAAAAAGAGAGGAAGGGGGCCAGAGTCCCAATATCCCTTTCAACAGCACCCCCCCAATGACATAACTTCCTCCCACTAGATCCCATTTCTTAAAGGTTCCATCACCTCCTAAAAGTGCCATGGGCTGGGAACCAAGTCTTCAATACATGAGCCTTTTGGGGGATTCCAGATCCAAAATATAACAGGGTCACCTGCTAAATTTGGCAAGTGACTGAGCTGCTCTGAACCTCATTGATTTTGGGCTCCTTGGAAGTCATCACCTGTGGGTGGTTTGCAGGGACATTCAGGAGGGTGTTGTTGAGATCAAACATCGCAGGATTTCTTAATTACTTGACTTGTGCTTTATCGGTCCTATCTGGGCCATTAGATAGGAAACTGCTTTCTTTTCTTTAAATGAGGTTATCTGCTGTTTTCCTGGGGGCTTGCCTCCCACTTCATGGGCCCTGTCTCTGAAGATAACTCCACACATCCCATTTGAGATCTGGAGCTGCAGAGAAGATGGGAGCCAATTGTTGACTGCTTTTAATCAAAACTGTATTATCCCAGCCTTGCTCTCACTGGGACTTACTATATTCCAGTTCACAAATAGTGACTACAAGCTGAGGCCAGAGAGGCAGCTCAGTGATTACCCACAGCCAGTTAATGACACATAGCTGACTTTGTGGACCATCCTTTTCTTTCTCTCTTCCTGTTGTTCCACATGTGCTTGAGAGACACCAACAACCTTCACAGGAACTTTAAAAGCGGGGATAAACAGACTCTACTGCTACTGCCTAATGAACACTCCACTGGCTGGTTCTCACCCCTTCTACTTGGAGGAAATGAGGTCTTCCTTTTTCCCCTCCAATAAAAGAAAATCTGTTCTGGACATGTGCTGGGTTGCTTTTCTAGTGGCCCTCAGATGAGCCCTCCTGACCTGTCCGTCTTGTCTCGCAGCCTCGTCATGTTCTACTTCATCGCCCTGGCTGGAGCACACAAGCGGGTGGTCCTCCAGCTCCGAGAGCAGCTGTCTCTGGTAAGGAGGCACAGGCCACACAGGATCATGGCTGGTGACAGTAAGTCAGAACACTGTACAGAGAGGGACACTTTTTCCGGGGAGCGGGGAGTAGAATTACTGTGGCCTCTACTCACTACCACTTCCCCAAACCATGCCTTCAGGTCCTGGCTGCTCCAGCTTCATTCGTTCGGCTCATCCATTTCTTCACCAAGAGACAAACCTGCTAAATACTTAAATAAGATAAATTCTGATAACTGTAGCTTCTATGAAGATAATAAAGTATTAGAGGGACGAGTGGGCCATCACTGCTTTTGCTGGTGGGTGAGGAAGGCCTGTTTAAGGAGGTGACACTGGAGCTGAGACTTGAACACAGGAGGGACTCCAGTGAGGGTGGAGCGTAAGATAGGATGAGGGAATGAGGACAAGCCTAAGGGGTTGGCTTCGCTGGAGGGCTGTGAATTGGGGTCAGGGGCAAGACGATACTGTGACATTGATGAGGGCCATAGTGTAGTCTGGCGGATCTGGTAGAAGTTTGGGTTTTGTTCTGAGTGTGATGGCAAACCACTGGAGTGTGTTAAGTAGACAGTATACAAACACTTCTGTTTGTGAACAGTAACTGAATTTGCAACCAGAAGTGTTCTGCCAAATTTTGGTTCCGTTTGCAAACTCCACATTGGGTAATATGACCACGGCCACCTTTCCCACATGAATACGAATGCAGCCATCTTCTCCAGAATCATGGAACAAATTAAGTTCATGAACTGAGGTACCACTGTATATGTTATGTATGTATGTATATGTAATTATTTATTTACGTTTCTTGGGTTTTTTTGGTTGTTTTTTATTTTTCAAGATAGGGTCTTGCTATGTAGTTTAGGCTGGTCTTGAACTTACTATATATGGCCCAGGCTGGCCTAGAACTTAGAGGGACCCTCCTGCCTCAGTTTCCTGAGTGCTGGAATTACAGGAATGCGTATTTTTAAAAGATCACAGGCTGCTACTGTAGACAGACCCAAGTAAGAGAGACCCATTGCAATAGTCCGGTGGTTGGCCTGCTTAGCCCTGAGAATAAGAGGTAATTCATTAGATAGAAATTATGCTGTTTATGTCCAAATATATGACATGACCTTTGAACTCATTTCTCTTTTAGGAAAGTCGTGATAAGCGCTATCTAATCCAGAAACTAACAGAAGCCCAACAGGATCTGAGGGGCCAATAGGTCGGGCATGAAGATGCTACTGTGTCTGCTTCTCAGTTGGCCTCCTGACTGCTGAGCACTCCAAAGTCTACCTGGGTTCTGAGGCGAAATTTTACAATATATTTTTCTGGAGTTTTAAAGAGATCAGCTCCCTGTGCACAGCTGTGGTGGCTGTGTTTGCATAGCCCAGCCCCTAGGGAAGGCTTTTAGTGACTTGGAAGTGCAGGTTGAAACCTAGGTCTTTACCTGTACGCTGGTAACTCAGTGATGACTCCACCGAAATAGTAACTCGTCTAGCTGTTCGGGGTTTTACAACAAAAATCAAGGGGAGACTTTTATATTTTTTAAAAGCTTGTTTTATGTTGTCTTTCAAAGTTAACCCAAGGTCATCTGTTCCCGAAACTGCGTTCTTTTTTTTGAACCTGGCTCTAGGAGTTTAGTCTGAGGAGTTTTCCTTAAAAGCTGTGGTCCTCCTGAATGATTCCAGTGACTTAAAATGAAAACTGACTTTTTTAAATGAAGAGAATCCTTGAATCATAATGCCTGGAACAGGTGGTAAGGACAAAAAGCAGACTGTCATGTAATTTTGGTTACATGGTGGTAGTAAGGGAGAAAAATCAGTCCCTGCCGTGTGAATAAGCAGTCCCTCAACATCCTGAGCAACCTTCACAAAGAGGACTGTGGCATATTGGCTGCCTTGACTTCTCAGCTTTCTAGGCATTTTGCTGTAACCTTATTTATTACTCAGGGGAAAGCTGCCGTAGTTACCCATAAGCCTTCAGTTTCTGTCTGGTCTACAGTTCTGAGACTTGGCAGAAGCCCTGTATGGTTGGAATTAGGAGGCAGACAAAGTTTGTCTCTCAGTCTTCCCAAGTGCTGGTTCCCATCCTTCACTAAGGTGTCCATTTCTGAAGGACGCACACATAGCATTTCAGAGCCAGGCCGCAGGGGTGGTTTAGTATTAGAGCTATGGCTTATGTGCGTAAGTGTTTTGTGGTATGGGTTACAGCTCAGCCTTTTCATTATACCAGCCTGTGACATATACTGGGTGCTGGTTTCTTAAATGCACATTTCCACATTTTAAAGGCTGCCATTTGTTTCCCTGTGCTTAAAATTTTAAGAGCACATGACTTTATTATGCAAAACATTACAAAAGCACAGTATCTAAGATTTCCGTTACAGTAAAAAATGCAATAAATACCTCATCATACGTGTACCTAAATTTGACACCCTGAAGCCTTTAATTGAAGCCTAAGTTATTATTTAATGCAATCCATTTTCATTTAATGCATAATATTTTCAAAATCATTGTCAAAGTATTCTGTCAAGTTTCCTTCCATTGTTTTTCTTCCCTTTCGCTGGCTCCAGCCCTTTTGTGGAGTTTAAAGCTTTTAGAGAGCTACTGTTGAGAATAATTCCCACCCACCTCTAGACTGCCCCATTACTCTAAGATGATTTGCTCCTTGCTCTGGGAGGCAAAGAAAGTGGTCATAGCTGACGCATTTCTGGATTCATGGTCCTTTGTCACAACCATGTGTGTGCTGTGCTGCTGGGGATGGAACCCAGGTCCTCAGCATGTGCTTCTGTACCGCTGGCCACTCCCTGACCTCAACACAACCACTTTCTGGCTCTGGTAGAAAGTACCATTAACATGGGGTATATCTGTACCTGCGAGACTGATGTTCTTCTCAGTCTCTCCCTGTCTCATTAAGGTTTATGAGTTTCTAAACCATTTAATAATTGGTATAAATTTTGAGCAATCCAAAGTCCATTCCATCCTCACTTAAAAAACAAATTTTGGCATTTCTGTCCAACACCTTTGTAATGTACTTGCCTTCAGCATGCTCCTGAGGACAGGGCAGGTTTCTATTTGTGTGTGTGTATTGTATAAAATAAAAATATATTGCCCTGTTTTCTTTTCATTTTTAAATTGATAGTGAAATATGCTAATAGCATATTAGTTTTACTTAAGTGCTGCTAACTTGAATACCTCTTACTTGAATTTTTTATGTTTTGATAACTAATAACTTCAGGTGATATCTGTGTAATTTTTAAAGTGAAGCTGTTTAACATGTGCATTAAAACTACTGATCAAATAACGTCTGCTGGTTTTAAAATGTGATTGTGTATAGTTGAACCCACACATGTGTCTTGTCTGCAATCAAGTGATCATGGAAACCTGTAATCGTTTGTAAAGTTGTTTTTTACCTTTTCCTAAAATTAGAGAAATGCACAAGCATTTAATGTAGTCATCAGATGAGGACTTTTAAAACTCCTTGGCTCTACTGAAGTTAGGGCAGGTGCACTTCTGGGCTTTAAACTTAAAAAATACAGTTATTTCAAGAATTCCTCATCTGACTCAGAGAAAGCCACAGCTAATATTTATTTTATTCTTCCAGAAAGCTTTAATACAT